AGTTCAAAGCCAGTCTAAGGTACCTAGCACCAGGCGACCTCCGGAGCCGCCTCGAAACTCGGCGTTCCCATCAAGACCAATCCCCAGAAACACGGGAAGGATCGCGCAGCCCAGAAATCGACAAAGCGAGAAGGCCGAGAAAGGAGAGGTCATGGTCTTCAAACAGAAACAAGGCCACCTCTCCTCAGGGAGGGTCCCCTGTTTACAGAACCCAGCGAAACGACGACGAAGGAATGGAAGTCATAACCATCGCGGGGGGCAGGAAACGCCCAAGGACCAAAGGGGACCGCGTATCACATTGCCTAAATGTCCAACGCAAGGTTCCAACGGACGTCACATTCCTCCCAACCGAGCTAGCCAAAGAAGAGAATTCAGAAGACCCCTTGGTCATCTCGTTCCAAACCGCCAAGTTCAAAGTCACCCGCGCTCTCGTGGACAACGGAAGCTCAGCCGACATCCTCTTTTACTCAGCGCTCAAAGGAATGAAGAAGAGCGTGCAAGACCTCAACCCCTCCAACACCAGCTTAGTAGGGTTCTCCGGAACCAAGGTTCGGGTCCTCGGGTCAATCACGCTCAAGGTCACCATAGGAGAAGGAGGAGTCACAAAGACAAGGCCAGTCGAGTTCCACGTAGCAGACTGTCTCTCGGCATACAATGCCATCCTGAGACGCGGCTTCCTTGCATCCTTCGAGGCAGTGGCGTCCACATGCCACCAAATGCTGAAGTTCCCTAGTGGGCGACACACATGCCGCGTCCGGGGTAACGTACAGGAATCCAAAGAGTGCTACCAAGCAACCATCGAGCACCTTGAAGTAGACTTGGTGGACGCAAGGGGAGACATACCGCGCCCTGAAGCGGTTGAAGGAGACATAGCGGTCGCCTTGGATGAAGAGCAACCAGACAAAAGGTGCGCGTCTCGGCGCATCTATCCACCGAAGAGGCTCAAAAGCTACTTGCACTCCTCCGAGAGTTTCAAGACCTCTTCGCATGGGGACCGGAGGACATGCCCGGCGTTCCCCGAACGGTTTCCGAACACCGGCTCTCAGTCAAATCCAAGGCACAACCCATTCAACAGCAAAGGAGACACCTGTCCCTCGAGAAGCAAATGGCTCTAGAAGAGGAAGTACGGCGCCTGCTCAAAGCCGACTTTATACGGGAGGTACGATACCCTACCTTGCTCTCGAATCCGGAGGTTCATGGAGGATGTGCATAGACTTCACAAGTCTTAACGCGGCTTGCCCGAAGGACGCGTATCCCCTTCCCCGCATCGATCAGCTCATTGATGGGACCGCCAATCACGAGGCTCTCAGCTTCCTAGACATGTTCTCCGGCTACCATCAAATCAAAATGGCGGAAGGCGACCAAGAGCTGACCGCATTCATGATGCCTATGGGGAACTTCTGTTACGTGGTCATGCCCTTCGGGTTGAAGAATGCGGGAGCAACCTACCAAAGGATGGTAGATGCTGTCTTCAAGGAGCAAATGGGAAGAAACGTCGAAGCATACATCGACGACGTATTAGTCAAAAGCAAGAAGGCTAGCGATCACCTATCAGACCTTCGAGAAACATTCGAAACCTTGCGAAGGAGGAACTTGAAGCTCAACCCCCTCAAGTGCGTCTTCGGGGCAGAAGCGGGCAAGTTCCTAGGATTCATGATCACTAAGAGAGGAATCGAAGAAAACCCCAAACAAATTGAAGCTGTCCTCAATTTGAAACCGCCGAAAACAATCAAGGAGATCCAAGCATTCAATGGCAAAATGGCCGCACTCGGGAGGTTCATTCCACGGTCTGCCGATAAATGCTCTCCTTTCTTCCAAATGCTGAAGAAGTCGGCATCCAGGCTCCAATGGGGCGCCGAATGCGACAAAGCGTTCGCATTGCTTACCAGCCAGCTCAGCTCACCACCCGTCCTGAGCGCGCCCCCATTCCCGGGGAGCGCCTTTATCTTTACCTAGCTGTCTCTGAACAAGCTGTGAGCTCCGCCTTGGTAAGAAGGGAACCAGACGGCATAGACCGGCCCGTCTACTACGTGAGCAAAGCGCTCCTACCTGCCGAGACGAGGTACATGCCAATCGAGAAGTCGGTCCTAGCTGTAACTTCTGCGACTAGGAAGTTGAGACCGTATTTCCAGGGGCACCCGATCACTGTATTGTCCAACCTCCCACTGAAAAGTATCATGCGAGGAATGGACGCCTCCGGAAGGCTGACGAAGTGGGCAATCGAACTCAGTGAGTATGACATAGAGTATGCCCCAAGGCCGACCATCAAGGGGCAAGTTCTAGCAGATTTCATCGCCGAGGGGTTCTCCCTAGCGGCCACCCTCTCGGACGAGCGCCACCAAATCTGGCGCTTATTCATTGACGGAGCAGCGGGGAAGGCCGCCTCAGGGGGCGGGATAGTGATAGAATCCCCTGACAGTGTCGTCCATGAAATCTCGCTAAGGTTCAGGGATATCAAGACCAACAATGTCGCAGAATACGAAGCTCTCATCAACGGCCTCAGGCTGCTAGCCAACATGGGTGCGTCAGATGTGCACATCTTCTCTGACTCGCTCTTGGTGGTGAAACAGGTGCATGGGAAATTCGAAATCAAGGACGACACATTGGCTTCACTTGCTAACAAGGTCAGAAGCGCCCTCGCGCAACTGAACTCGTGGAAACTTGAACATGTTCGGCGCGACGACAATCAACACGCCGATGCGTTGTCCAAATTGGCAACCGCCCTCGACTTCGAAGGGGACCACCACGTAACTGTCACAAAGGAGAGCGACCCTTCCGAGGAAGTCATGAACATCGGAGACGTCTCGGATTGGAGGACCCCTCTGTTTCAATATTTGGAACACGACATAGCTCCCCAGCACCCAACCGAACGAAAAGCTCTCAAGCGCAAGGCGTCCAGATACACCATCGTGAACGGTCACCTCTACAAAAGATCATTCTCAGGAACGTACTTGAAGTGCCTTGGCCCAGAGGAAGCAAAGTGGACTCTAAGAGCGATTCATGGGGGGACGTGCGCGACACATGCTGGACCGAGGTCACTTGAGAGAACGGTTCTACTACAGGGCTACTACTGGCCAACAATCAAGAGAGACGCGTCAGACGTCGTTCAAAAATGTCACGCCTGCCAAATGCATGCATCCAAGCATCATCTCCCCAGCATTGAGTTCCAAGGGGTGGTTGGCCCATGGCCATTCGCTAGGTGGGGGCTCGATCTGCTAGGGCCTTTTCCCACCGCCCCGCTCGGAAAGAAATATCTTGTGGTCGCGGTCGACTACTTCACCAAGTGGATAGAGGCCGAGCCACTAGAGACAATCACGAGTGTGAGGGTCCAAAAATTCGTTTTCAACAACAAATCCCGCAGTCGATCGTCACTGCCCATGGCACGCAATTCGACTGTCGACCATTCGAAAACTTTTGTGCGAGGAACCGCATTACTGGCACCATGGCCTCGGTGGCGTACCCATAGACCGACGACCAAGCTGAAGCGTCCACAAACTGATCCTCCAAGGGCTGAAAAAGCGTCTTCGAGACGCGAAAGGGGCATGGACCACAGAACTCTCGCATATCTTGTGGGCGCACCGCACGACCCACAAGACCGCCGCAGGCGAAACTCCCTTTGCTCTGACATACGGTTCCGAGGCAGTCGCTCCAGAAGAGCTAAACCTACCGTCTCTTCGCGTCCAATCATATGATCCAGAAGCCAATCACAGGAAGCTCCTAGAACAATTGGATATGCTAGAGACAAGGAGGGACGCGGCTCTTGAGCGCATCATGAACGAGAAAGCGAAGGTGGCCCTTTCCTACAACAAGAAAGTGAGGCCACGCATCCTCGAAGAAGGAGACATGGTTCTCAAGCGCGACTTTCAGAAGAAGGAAGAGCATGGAAAGCTTGCGGCAAATTGGGAGGGTCCCTTCCTCATCGGCGAGAAGACAGGTCCCAACACCTTCCGCCTCGCTACCATGGAGGGAACGCCCGTCTCCAAGACATGGAATGGAATGCACCTCCGAATGTACTACTCTGACGCGGTTTAGAGTACGTTAAGCTCAAGAAAGTATATTTTGGTGGTCAGGGTAGCATACCCGCCACATGTAAGAGTGTATTGGTAGCTCTCAGGCTTCCACTTTTGCCTTAGTAATACACTCATGTTTTCGGCCAAAATTGCGTGTCACTACGCATCTTTGCCTCACAGGCTTATACATTCATCTTAACTCGGGAACACTCCCCAATATCCTCGCTCCTAGCTAAGGGAAAACAACAACTAAGTTCAAGTAATGCAAAACTCATAGCAAAACCGGGCAAGACCGCCAGACGGTCTCCCATCAAATGAAGGGGCGAAGAAAGCGGTCTCCGAAAGATCGCGACTCTTCACGACCTTCACGATCATAGAAAGGACCTACTCCCACGGGAAGAAGGTAATGGGCAAATGAATAAAGCCTAACAAGTCAGGATGCAACCCATCCGCATAAAATCCGCTCCAACGCGGTCGTCATAAAACACTTCCTTCCCAACAAAGGAATTCAAAAGCACGCCCTCAGGCGGTTACAGAAAAAGCATTCACAACACGTCAAATATTCATGTGAAAATGTCTTAAACACACTAACAGTTACGATAAGATAACTAGAACGGTCTCAGATGCTCGGAGAACCCCTGCTGGTCGCATCACCTTCTTCAGCAAATTCCTCTTCACCTCCTGCTTCCTCTTCTTCTGATTCATCAGCCTCTGAGTTCACATCAGTGGAGGACCAGTGGCCGATGGCGTCCCATACGCGGTCGGAGTCCCAACCAAATCTGGGCACTCCTCTCGAAATAGGTGACGTATGGCGGCCACCACATTGCCAACCACCTCCTTATACTTGGCTTTGTCTTGCTCAAGGAACTCCACGGTCTGCAGATAAGCAGGACCTGATTCCGCCCGAGCAGCGGCCAGCTCCGCCTCATGAGCCACCACCAAAGACGCCTTCTCCAACTTTAAGGCGTCCACTTCCCTACGCAGAGCCTCCTACTCCTCAAGCAAAGTCCTTTCAATCTCTTCTGACTTCTGAAGCGAATCTCGAAGGCGGTCCCTCTCCTCTCGAACCGCCTTGGAAGCCTCCTTCTCATCCTTTAAGTCTTGGTCCTTGCGAGCCATCTGCTCGGCGAAGCCTTTCTCCAGTTGGGGACGCAACTCCTCCACCAAGGCAGACCGACCTTCCGCCAAGCTCTTCTTGAGGCTGGCGATCTCGACCACGTTGTCATCAACCGTCTTCGATAGGCGGTCGTTGAGCAAGATGATTTGAGAAAACCCGATCTGGGCCTGCAAAACCAAATCCAAATCCATCAAAAGAGAACGCCAATAGGCATAACTGACGAAAAGGCGAGTAACTGACCCCAAAAAAGAACTGCGAAGCGGTCCCCGCCAGGCGGCGGTTGCTCTCCTGTGCCATTGCGGTGTACTCATTTGGCATCACGAGCTGCTCACTGATCGTGTGAAATGCCAACTCTGCCGCTTCTGTGTCGGTGGCGGCCAAGGGAGGAACATCCACGAGGCAAGGTTTTTCCACCCGCTTGGCTCCCTTCCCGCGTCTATCTTCTACCCTGGAAGGAGAAGCACGGACCTTAGCCCGCTTCGAGACCGCTTCAGGGGTCTCTTGCGGCCACAACCTCTTCCCCGCACCTCGCGTCACGGGAAGCGACCCTACCTCAGTCGGGGCAGGTTGGGGAGCGGTTGGTGGAGCAGGAGACGTCGCCGGAGGATCAGCTACAACAGACGAGGACGCACCACCCGCCTTGGCGGCCTTCACGGTCTTCTTCCTCTGCGGTCTGTTTGCGTCCGCCAACTCCCTCAGACCTGGAGAAAGAAAGCATAAGTAAAATACATGAGAAAGATAAACACTAAGATCGCAAATTACGCTACTAACCGTAAAAACCGCGAACAAGCTGGTAGGCGCTGTCGGAACCACTATGCTGCACACGCAGCTGGACCGCCTTCACAATGCGTGCCACATGGTCCCGCATCGATTGTGGAAACTGATGAGAATCACACCAGTCGTCCTTCGACCCGACCGCATAACCAGTGGGCGGTTCAGTGTCACCCGCATACCACTTCCAAGACGGCTTCGCAAAGAAGTATTCCCTATACCAGGGTGAGTCCAGCTTAGGCGCCCCGGTGACAAACCCTATCGAATTCTCCCGCCTCCCGATCGACCAGCAGTTGGTCGAATCTCTGATGTTGTAAATCAATCGGAACGCGTCGAAGGAGGGATCTTCCTTAATACGGTCACACGCCAAACGATACATCACAGAATGAAAGACGATCGTAGGAGAAAGCCGCCCTAGGGTGCAGTTGAGCCAATTCAGAACCTTCGTCAGAATGGGGTCAAGCGGAAACCGCAAACCCAACTTGACGTGCTCGACAAGAATGGGTATCCACCCAGTAGGACAAGACCCAGAGCGGCTGGTCTGCGACGGAGCCGCATATTGCCAATCCGGAGGCATACGAAGCGTCTTCAGGAGGTGCAATACCTGCTCCGGTTTGAAGGCCGCATGGTGCGGAGGTCCCTGCTCCAACACCCCCTCTGGGATCGGTTCGCCACCCCACATTCCCGCGTGACACAAGACAGTGTACACGGAATCCCGAACAGCGATCGGAAGCGGTCTCACCTCCTCAGACTCCGCGATCTCTAAAGAGGAAGAGGTACTGAGAGACGCCTCCGAGCGTACCCTCTCACTGCTATCCTCGTGATCTTCTTCCACCAAGATACTATCTAAGTCTACCCGCTCAAATTCACCCAAATTATCACCCACCGCCGACGATGTGGCCATAACCCCAACTGGTACAGGGCGCATGTTAGCATAATAGTTATCTACGTCTATACAGTCCCCGACAAGACAGTTGTCCAATTCAGAAGCATTTCCAAAATATAAGTCTAGCCCGGATAAATCCCAACACACTCAGATGTGTTTCGAATGGGAGAAGAGCGGTTCATACCTTGCGAGGCGAGAACAGTCGCGGGGGCGCTCGCGGGCTTCTTCCCCATAAGAGGAACCGCCGGCGGGACAATCAAACATGACGGATCCCTCTCAGGGACCGCCGCGAGAGGGGAATCGACAGGAGGCACGCTCTCGACGGCGGCGGCATGGCCATCGACGCCGGTTTGGGAAGGAAGAACTCCGCCTGACATCTACAGGGCATCAACAACCGCCGCAAATGGCGCAATTCCAGAAAACAAAAAGCAAACCGAACGCGAAAATGATCGAGCGTCAGAAAATCGCGAGGAAAAGGAGGTAAACCCACAGCACCACCGCGAGAGGAGGGAAGCAAGAAGTCTTACCTGGTCTCTCGATTGGATTTTATACACGGCCGGCGGCGACAAGGTCTGAACTCGCACAGACGAGAGGGAGGAGGAAGAAGACGAAGAGCTTTCTCAAACTAGGAGGAAGTTTTTGCGGAAAAACCCCTCTTCCAAACACTTGTAGCGAAAAAGGGGAAAGTTTAAAACCCCGAAGCGCCACAGCGCGAACCCCGAGGCACATCAAACCCAGAAGTGACGTTCTGTCTGCCAATGTCGGGGCTCCGCGCCCGATACACGACACGCGGCGACAGCCGCACAAGAGGCAAACCTCCTCATCCTCCCCTTAGGCGACCCCGCTTCAGGTCCTCGCGACCAGGGGCAGCAGGGTAGTCGTCCACGCAGCGGTTAAAGGACGCCCTAACGCTACATCATGGGCATACCGGTCCGACTCGACTCAATGATCACAAACGAAACAATTAGACGCGAAAACCTAAAGCTTCTCCCGCCTAAGGGGCAAATGTTGGGCCAAGCATTGAGACAACCGGCCCGTAGGCCCAAGAAACATCAAAGGCCCATACATGGCTGAACAAGGCCCAAGAGCAGAGGCAACGGGCGGAGGCGGTCTATATGGACGACTACTCAAGACCGCCCGACACTGTTGCGAGGAACGCTAATAGACCGCCCGACACTCTGACTCCCCAGTACGAAGTCTGACAAAGCAAACCGGCCTAGCCAGAGGCGACCCTAGACGCCCGACAGGCCCATAAATGCGCATACTTCAGCTGAGACTAGTACAAATACCCAACAAGGGTTCACATTTATGGTAACTTCAACTACTCCATTCTCTCTCTTCTTTACAATTCTCTCAATCCTCTCTCTAACTTAGGCATCGGAGGAGGTCCTAGGATCCCCCTGAAGACCTTTCTTGCAGGGATTCGGAGACCGCCTTCGCCCATCGAAGCCGCTCGAGGCCGTCAGGACTCACAAAATCGCTTGATACGATCCAAGCACAAACACTTAACCTCCTTAGACCGGTTCAATCATTTAATTCATTTTGGCAGGCCAATCCACCGGGCAAAATTCTAGTTATAAACGATATAACAAACGACCGCTAACTTCACCAAAATTCAAAAACCCGGATTTCATGATTTAGAAGTGACGCGATGTACTTGCCACTATTCGAAGCGAATAGACGATACAAACATATGATATACACAATGGTAGGATCTAACCAAGATTGCACGTACATACACATCACATCGTGGTAAAGTAAATTGCACTAGAGTTTACACTACTGAGATTCAATTTTGTAGGAAAATGGCAGCTCCAACCAAGGCAAGCCAAAATGCGAGGGCCACCCAGAAAGCTTGGTTATTCTCCAATCCAGTTGGAGGTCGCCATTGCAAGAGCTCTCCTAGATAGTCTCTCGACGAAGGAAGCTGATTGGTTGTCGTCCAGCTACTCTTTTCATCCTTGTCCTTGTACTTATCGGTCCACGATGATGCATAGCTACAAATGACAATCAAGAATCCAACAACAAGAACCCATCAAAAGAGGTTTAATCCAAAGGAAAAGCAATGTAATTTCTAGTAAAGCATGAAACGAGAATCAAACAACAGTTGCAAGAAGTGAAGAAGCAGAAGAAGTACAGACACAGGAATCAATGATGGGAAGAGCATCACAATTTTCCATGGAAGGAAAAAGGACTGATCTTTACCTGTCATAAGTGGAACCAATGAGTGGAATGGTAACCATTTCTTCTTGGGATATCTTGAGCTTGGGCGCTTGCAAGATGTAACGAAGTTCAGCAGCTTGGCGACGTATGCTGATACTAGGATGCTTCCGCTCTAGTTGTTGATAGAGAGTAATGCAATCTGAATGTCTGTTATTAGCTTCATACGCCATAGCCAACCATATTTGAATCTGAAACCCAAGAGCAGAGCTTGAAAGATCCATCTTTAGAACCGGTGAATTCCAAAGAACTTGAACAGAAACTGAGGAGGATTGGCGGTGGGATTTGGAAACTAACCTCACCCCCAAACAAGGTAAGCCTAGGTATTATTGTGAGAGCAGCTTCAAGAAACTCAATGGCCCTTCCATACATTCCTCTCCCATAAGCTTTTTGGCCTAATTCAAACATCAATTGAGCCGTTTGTCTCCTCTCTGCCTGCTCCTGAGCCACCTGCTCTCACAATTTCACCAAAACCCTATACACACATCATTTCCCCAATTCTGAAGCAACAATTGCAGAAAGAAAAACCAAGCAAAACCTAACATTCAATGTCAAAAAGTGAGAGGAAAGGGAGCGAATTGGTGACCTTTTCAAGCTCTTTTCTCACTCTCTGCCTCTTCTCTTCCTCCGTCTCTTCTCTCCCTTCTTGACCATTCTCACTGATCTCTTCTTCCGCCTTGCTCTGCAACTCCTCCGCCTTCTTCTCCAACTCTTTCATCTCCTCGATCTCCTTCACTCTCTTCCTCATCTCCTTCTCCCAATCGAACGGATCCTCTTCTCCCTCCTCGCCGTTCCCGTTCCCATTCTCTTCGTCGCTGTCGAAATCCACCCCGTTCACCTTCGAATTCTCCTTCCCTCGAACCACGAATCTCTGATTCCTCGCTTCCCCTTTCGATTCGAAGCCCTTCCCCCCGGCCAGAGAAGAAGCATGGACGTTGCTGGAACCGGTGAGATGATGAAGCTCCCGCTTCGACAAGCTCAATATCAGATCGAGAGCCACCGGACGCGTTTTCCTCTCGGGAAGTATGATGGCAGGCGGCATCGTCACGTCGAGAAGAAGCGCCAAGTTTCCGACCACCGCCATGGCTGTAGCCCGATTGAGAAAGAAGACAGAGGAAGCAAACGAGAAATGAAACAGAGTACACAGAAAATGTAGCAGTCTAGCAGAGATATTTCTTTCATATGAAGAGAAGTGGCATAGAAGCAATATTGAAAAGACTCCGATGTCCCTTTCATCAGCTCGACGTGGGCTTAGAGATTCCGAGGGTATTTTCGTCCGGAATGGGAACAAAAACGTGGCGCGCTCGCTGCGAGAGCCGTGTCTGAAAACAGCCAACTGTAGAAATAATTTCAAAGCGAAATCTTCAAACGGCGTCGTCTTTCGTAGGCTGGCTACTGACCGCGCCGCCGTCGACAGCCAACAACTGAACAACCACAGCCACATCCCTCGCGGTGGAGGCGCGCCGCCGTGTGTGGCCACATCCAATTTATAGCTTCCGGACATCCAATTTGCACGGAAATTCAACTCGCCTGTTTTTACCATGGCGCTTCTGCAGCTTTGCGGCACAGGGCAACGTCTCCTCCCTTCCCGCCACCGCTTCTCGGTCAGCGGTGTCATTGACCGCCGGATCATCGTTACAGCTAGAAAGACGAAGTTCGAATTCGCTAACTTGTCTTTGAAGAATCGATGTGCTGCTACTGCTCGCTTTGCTCCTTTGAGATGGGCTTCCGTCAATGGCTATTCGACTGAGAACGGAACGGGGAAGGTAGATGATGACGGAGCACTGGGAGAGGAGAAGGATGGAAATGAGGATGAGATGCACCAACGGATTCGGAGTTTCATCGAGTTCCTACCGTCAATTTTACCCGGAGGGAACTGGTGGAGCTTATCCGACGACGTGGACGTGAAACTCGTGGCGGAGCCGGTGACCGTGTGGAAGGCACTAGGGCGGATGTGGCAGCTGGTGGCCCGGGACCGTTGGGTCATCATCGCCGCTTTCTCCGCCCTAATTTTGGCTGCGGTGTCGGAGATCTCCATACCGCATTACTTGACGGCGTCGATTTTCACGGCGCAGAGCGCCGACGTTGCGACGTTCCACCGGAACGTACGGCTGCTGGTTCTGCTCTGCGTTACTTCAGGGATATGCAGGTCAAGGCGTTGTACGGGTTCAACTAGTCCCTCTATTTTCTCTAAACTGATGATGATAATATTATTACATTCTAACTGGTGTGTGGCAGAGAATGCTGAATTCCTTTTTACTGTTTGTTTTTGTTAAGCTCAGTGGGTTAAGAGGTTGCTGCTTTGGCATTGCGAATATGATCCTCGTGAGTTGTTTCTCTTAGCTTCAATTTCTGGAATATGGTCTTGTTTCTCCGGTGGCCTACTTTTGTGGGGATTTCATAACCTATTCAGTAGTGTTGTCAAAACTCAAATGATCATCCCTTTGGATATTTGAAACTGACATTGGTGTCTGGTGTGGGTTCCTTGCCGTATTTGCAGGTGAAGCGGATGAGAGAAACTCTGTATTCTTCTCTTCTTCTTCAGGTATAGTTGTTATGCTTCTTTACTTGTTACTCACCTTACTTGCTGACGATGTATTTGTCACCAGTGTATTGCTACATCTTTTGCAGGATATTTCATTTTTCGACAATGAAACAGTTGGTGATCTGACGAGCAGGCTTGGATCGGATTGCCAACAAGTTTCTCGGGTTATTGGGAATGATCTTAACCTGATCTTGCGAAACGTTGTGCAGGTTGATGTTCTCTACTAATGTTTTCCAGCTGCCTGTTAGTGTCAACTTAAACAAAGTTGGTTTAATTCACAGTTTGTTGTTCTGTTCTAGGGTACGGGTGCATTGACCTACTTGCTGATCCTGTCTAGGCCGCTTGGTCTGTTTACGGTATTCATATGCTCAGCTTTGGCAGCTGTAATGACAGTCTATGGCATGTAAGATCCTTGGATATATTTCTTGAAGTAAGCTTGTCGTGGGTTTTTTTTATGATGCCTAGCTTAATGAATAGAGCCCTGTTTTAAGATGATGTACGAGGTTGAGAATGCACTTGGTATAGTATGCTGAGGTAAGCGTGTTGTAGCTGAACTGCGAGGAGATTGGTTTGAACTACTGGTAGAAACACTGTGATTCATGACCATAAGTTTTAGTGAAGTTTTTTAGTACTTGACAGTATACTTTTGCTCCAATGAAATTCAGCAACCAATAACCATGAGTTGAAATTTGGCCTGAATAGATGTTTATGTCGTAGTGATGGCTATATGACCTTGGGTATTTATGTTGTTATTACTTATTAGGTATCAGAAGAAGGCAGCAAGACTAACCCAAGAGTTTACAGCTTCTGCTAATAACGTATGATGGTATTCCTTATGTTTAAGTTAGGAAACTAACTGATATGCTTGAAGTCATGAATGAGTTTGTCTTAACCTTGTGCAGGTGGCTCAAGAGACATTTTCTTTGATTAGGACAGTTCGTGTTTATGGAACTGAAAAACTAGAACGTGAAAGGTCAGTCGAAGTTTAGAGTTCTGTATCTTCTTTATTCGGATTTTATGGTCTTTAATTGTGGCATCTACAAGAAAGAATGATCTGTGGTGATAGACGTACTAGCAGAGTTAAAGTTACTCCTGCAGTAGTTATACATTCTCACTCATACAAATTTCCTTCCTTGAACTTCATAGGTACAATTTGTGGCTGGACAAATTGGCTGATATCAGTCTGAAGCAGAGTGCTGCATATGGATTTTGGAACCTGAGCTTCAACACACTTTATCACTCTACTCAGGTCTGCAATGTCTTATATTGCAGTGTACCCAGTTGCACATTTCTAAAATGAGTGAGCTTTATATCATCTCAATAGTCTATTTAGTGAGGGATCAATTAACGTATGTTGAGCAACTTCTGCTTATTCAACATATTTTGTTTTCTAGGTCATTGCTGTGTTATTAGGAGGAATTTCTATTCTTGCTGGTCATCTTACAGCGGAGAAACTCACGAAGTTCATATTATACAGCGAATGGCTAATATTTTCTACGTGGTGGGTGGGAGATAATTTATCATCTCTCATGCAATCTGTTGGGGCTAGTGAAAAGGTCTTCAAAATGATGGATCTCTTGCCAAGTGATCAGTTCACCACAAAAGGCAAGCTATTTTCTTGTATCAATTTTTGATGATTGAATTGTTCCTAAATTTGGAGAATCATTTTATCAGTATCGCCTTTGATTTGACTTTTTTTAACATATTTTATATTGATCTTAGAGATCACTATGACGAGCTTATTGCCTTTTAAAAAGCTTTTAATTCCCTGCCATGCAATGCGATTTTGGATTTTTTGCTGAAGCGTTAAAGATTGTCTTAGCAAGTAATCATAAAAACATACATGTGAGCTTAAGAACAAAACATAAAAGATTGCATGAGCTTGTCCAAAGTGACTAGATTAGGTTGTTGTGTCGATCAATTTCGATATTTTGTCAGGATTCATGTTTGTATGATAGAAAGTAATGGACTTAATGAGATAACCTCTGAAAAACTGTTGAATGCAAATGTTGAAGCAAACTAATTGTGTTTCTGACCTTTTAAAAGGTGGTTGTTGCTATTGCAGGATCACGACTACAAAAGCTGAAGGGAAGCATAGAATTCGAGAACATATCTTTCCATTATCCTTCAAGAGAGTCAGTACGGATGCTGCCTTCATCTCCAAATTGCACTCTATGTCTCTTTCATTTTTATATAATCACTTATTTTATCTCCAGTTTATCTTCTGTTAAACATTTCAAATTTCATCATACTCTGGTTGCTTTAGTTTTATCGTTTGCTAAATTGTCTCTAAATAAATTGACGATTTCGTACTTTAATAGGTTCAGGTACTGCAACATGTAAACCTTACCGTACATCCTGGGGAAGTGATTGCAATCGTAAGTTTGCCCTTACTTGCATGTTGTTCATTTCTCCTACCAGTCACCCAAATAATGTGTTTCTTGGGGACTTTTCTTAGGTTGGCCTTAGTGGTAGTGGGAAAAGCACTCTGGTGAATTTGTTGCTCCGCCTCTATGAGCCAACAAGTGGTCAGGTAAAATCTCTTGCTATTTCTTGAACCTCTCATCCATAAGGCATCAAGATTCTTGGTCCATGTTACTGCAGAAGTTTGTTCTAGGTAGTTGGCTGAAGATTTGTATATGGCATTTATCGTATGCCTTAAGAATTCACTATAATATGCTAAGTTATGTAACTTAAAACCATTTCTATTCTCTTTATCCAAGATAAACCTTTGAAATGATGTTCGGATATCCATGTTTCTGCCATTCATAGGTTGTTTTTTTATTTATTATCCATGATGAAAGTTTTATGCTTGTAAAACTGATCTCTTCTGTCTTCTGAAGTCACGCATCAGTTTCATTTGTATTTGTCAATAACCACAGATTTTGATTGATGGCATTCCCCTTCAAGAACTGGACATCAGATGGTTTAGGGAAAGAATTGGGTACGTTGGCCAGGTTAGCTCTTCACCTTGAACTTAAAACACATTTTTGGAGTCTCGTGAGTTATAACTTCTGCTTACACCAGTTCTATTGAAGCAGGAACCCAAACTCTTCCGCATGGATCTGAGTTCAAACATAAGTTACGGATGTCCAGGAGATGTAACCCAGGAGGAAATCGAGCATGCTGCTAAGGAGGCATATGCTCACGACTTCATCTCTTCCTTACCTGATGGCTACAAAACAATTGTTGATGATGATTTGCTCAGCGGGGGCCAGAAGCAAAGAATCGCTATTGCTCGAGCTATTCTCAGGGACCCTACGATTTTGATCCTTGATGAAGCCACAAGTGCACTGGACGCCGAGAGTGAGCACAATGTTAAGGTTTAAGTCTCTCTAACACCCCCTAGTATGCCAATGATAACTAGATGTTAGTAGAAATTTGGAAAAACGAACTTAACTTTCTGTTTTCGACCACCATGTGTAGGGAGTCATTCGTTCCCTTAAAAGTGACTCGATGTCAAGGAGGACCGTCATAGTGATCGCCCATAGGTAACCGATCTACTATATAGATACCCCCGTGTCGAGACATCATAAATCCTCACTTCGATCGTTTTCCTTTGGTGCAGGCTCTCAACCATCCAAGCTGCTGATCGCATTGTCGTTATGGGTAATGGTCAAGTTATCGAGGTTCGTTGCTTCTGTGATCATTTGAGCTACCGTAAACTCTGTACTCTTCGTTCCTAAACCGAATAGCGAATCCCACTTGCTTGTTTCAGATGGGAAGACACAAGGAATTGCTGCTTAAAGATGGACTGTATGCTCAATTAACCAGACGACAAGCGGACGCAGTGGCCTAATTTTAAGTTATGCAGATTACTCCTTTGGTACACAGGTATAGCAATTTCGGAAGTAAATGTAAAATGTGTTGAACATAAGAAGCGCAATTTTCGCGAAAGGAATGTGAGGGATCCAATTTGTATCCTTTGGTTCCTCACCGAAAAACATT